TGTGCTTGATGTGCACCTGCCTTGTGTGAGGAAACTATCATTACAGTTGATGGCAGGAATGAAATGCCAGTGACAGAGCATTGCTGCTTCAGCCATGCCATGGATCTCAGTGTCGGAACGCCCCGTCATTGCTACAAGGTGCAAGGTTCTGATGGCAAGTATAAAATCAAATGCTAATAAGCAGGGAGTAGATGTGGCCATACCAAAGATTTACATGGAGCTTAATTTCACAAGAGATAAATGTTTTTCAGTTATAAGTGTTGCAAAGAGACAACATACATGTAACATGCTTGTTTTTCAGCTTAATCAAGGTATTTGAACATTATGCTGAAAATAGTGACCAAAGAACACATGCATAGGAGAACTAGACACAGGTTTGAAACAGAAATTTATTCGTTAAGTTTTAAGTCACTTATGTTGCAAAATTTGGACTAGTCAAAGGAAAAAATAACTGCAATGAAAAGAATTAACTCAGTCCTGCTTCACTGTTTGTTTGAGTCTATTAAGGGAATATACTACTCACATACGACTAAAATAAATGGAAAAATTACCTTACATGGTGCTTTTTAATTTGCTTGTAGGAAAATAGAATTGTGACTCACAAAGCATGCAATACAGACTTATCTCTACATGAACATGACAGGTTAATTGGAAAAGCTGATCAGTAGTAACACAAGGAGTTCTACCTTACTAGTGATTATATTGCAGCATTTTGTGTAAGGTGTTTTACTCTATGTGTCACTTCAGTGTTAAGGTATTTCAATGTTCTGAAAAGATGCTGCAGAAAATGAGATCCCATTCTGGAACACAGGCATTCTCTTTAATAGTTACTCATACCTGCTAAAGCTGACGTGCTAAAACAAGGCTATGCTACAAGGAAGAGGCATGAGGTAGGCATATAAAAAGACATGAGTAAGTGCCATGACTCACGTTCCAAAGTACGCAGTTGCCTACGTGAATTACACACTAAAAAGGCAACTTGTACACTCATATACCAAATCTGGGCTTGTAGTCATACAACTGTGCATGAACCTTAGGTGTTCTCACCTGGTAATGTGACCATTGTCAATGATCACCAATTGCAAATCTTGAAAACAACAGTAAAATAAAAATTTTGTAGATAGAATGAAAAGAACTTCTCCTTTCAGTATCACAGGAATGCTGCATAATTCCCTGCTCTGGAACTTAAAAATGACACTAATAATTTTCTAAGGCCATTTTCAATCAACCCTATAATGCACATTACCATGCTTCTCCCTCCAGACTGCTAAACATTTCCTCTACTTGCTCATGGTAGAGCTTTATCCCAGGCACTAGATGTTTGTGTACTGGATACCAAGGACCGTAGTACTAGCTGTAGTGTCTGTATCTACATGTGTATAAGGACAGTGCTGCACAGAAAAGCAAATGTGATACACACTTCTAGGGAACCAGTCAAAAAACCCGGATTGTACCTTATTATTAGTGGGGAAAACACCAAACTTGGACAAGTTATTATGGGCAAAGTTTAAAATAGATGTAGCTGTTCCTTCTGCTTGAAGAGGTTTGTTCTAGAGGATCTGACAGTTTCTCACTGCACTATGACAGAATATGAACACTATAGCTCAATCAGAAGAAGCTAAAAAGAGAATTATTTTTAAAGGAAATGTATTTTGAATGGAAGTGCAAACCAATGCTTTCAAAATAAAGATGACACATAAAAAGCAGGATTTGAAAACTAAATGTTAGTGAAAAACTATACAGTCTAATCTACTAGAAAATAATGGTAATGATACTGTGACAGGGAAATCCTTTAAAAAAGAGGTCATTGGTAAATAATCATTTTAAGACCAGTGATTTTACCTCTAAAAAATTCTTTTTAAGTGCTGCTTCACATCTTCTGAAAGAAGTTAAAGAGAATGGTAAATAAAAAGATAAAGAGAATGGTTCTATACTCCAGAGAAATAAGCAGACATACATACATGTGTATATTCTCTCTGCTCTTAAATTCTCCCCTAAGTGTCTGCTTTTGGTCACTGTCAAGACAGCATGCTGGGTTGGGTGAACTTGCAGTCTGAGCCAGAACACCCAGGAAGGTGCTGCATGTTGTATGGGTTTGGTTAATACCCAGAGCACTACATCCAGAGACTGTTCACATCTGTATTTTGAACAACAAGTTCCACTGAGATCTGGGAAGTAGCATGAATGGCTGCTGAAAGCTTCCCTGGAATAAAGTCCTGTCCTAGGTAGACTGTCCACTGACAAAACATACCTCAGAGCATCTCATTTTGCCCACCAGAGTGGGACAAACACCAGCAAATGAACTATGTCAAACTTCAGAGGGACAGTGGAACACTCCCTTAGTGCTGTGGCTCGCACTGAGTTCCAGCAAACACCTGTGGTGATTTAAGATGCAGCTGTATCTTCCTGACTGCCCAATCCCTTCTTTTATGGTTATTAACAATTACCAAGAGTGATATACAGGAGAATCTGTATGGTTCACTTATCCCAGATCCATTTGTCTGGTGTCCTGGCACAAACCCATTTTTATTAGACCAAGACTGGGGCAGTTGGGCCTGGGAACACATTTGAACCTGCCATCCCTGCTTCAGAGCACGACGGCTCTAGCAAAGAAGTCAGCATCAGGATTTTAATATTTTAAAGTCCTGCTGCCAGACCTGCAGGAGCTTGTCCATCAGAGCCTAAATGGAAGAGAAATGAGTAACTTTGGTTGAAATTCCCCTCATTAATTGTGTTAAGCAATATGATTCATTCCACAGGGCAGGAGCTCCCCTCCCTAACAGGCAGACCTGTATGCTTTCCAAGCTGTCCTTTCAAGTCAGTTGACTGTACAGGTAGAGATCACACTGATGTGCACTTCGAAGTGGAAAAGTCAGTTGACTGTACAGGTAGAGATCACACTGATGTGCTCCTCGAAGTGGACCAGGAGATACACTGTCTGCTTTAAGAAAGTCACGTTGGATGGCTAGGACTGATGGGGCACAAACAGTGCATGGTTTACTGCATAGCTACCTAATCAGAATTTAAGTTCTAGATCTGTACTCCTTCATACCTCATAGACCCTTTGAGGCAGCTTTTTTCATTCTGTATAATACTTTTATTAAATTCTGCTTTTCCACTGGTATGGACTGTCTTAGAGGTTAATTTTTTTCACAATATATTAATTTGGGGGTTCCTTCATGATCAGCTTAGAGCACAAACTGTTGTTAAAAAGTTGTGCAATTGAATGGTTAAACACATTCATTTATTAATGTTTCTCTAAAATATCTGAGATGGAAGCGTACAAAGTACCTTATAATATGAGCCAAGAAATATGAATTATTACAATTTATTACTCAGAAACCTATCCTTCTCCTTTCCTCAAAAGTGTTATTTACGGTAGTACCACTACATGTTAGCAGGTCCTTTTACCAAGTTACCATATAAAGATGGATGAAACAATTATTAATTTCTAAAAAGTCAGCTGAATAAAAGATGTTGCCAGTATAACAGCTCCCACCCTCACCTGCCTTAGTTGATTACACATCATTAAGAAAGCTGCAGCAACAAAATACAAATGCTTCTAGTGGCATTTTACATCTATCTGTTTATGAGAAAAGTTACAATGAAGATGAATGCACCTTAGTTTGGCTTTGCAAATTTAGCTAGTTATCTACAAATATGGGTATTTCTGAGTATTATTCTAAAGGTTTAGTTCTGGATCCCTGTTGGAGTGGGATCCGGACCCGGAGTAACGCTGAGTCTCAATATGAGTATGGTCGTTCTCCCTTATTCTTAGTGCTTACAAGATATATACAGATATTCACACAGAGTACGCGAGCGCAGCGGATACAGGATTGGTTTATTGCCCTTGTCCCAGTGTCCAGGGCAAACTGATGATTGGAGCAAGCAGGTGTCTGTCCAGATTCCGGGATGTTCCAGGGAGCTTGTTGACACCGGACTCAGAGCCGGTCAGAGCCAGCTCTGCCAGGCAGAGCTCGCTCCTTATCAGCAGTTCAAGGCTCAGTCACAGCTGCTGTAGGCCTCACACCACACCACCAGCTGGGTTGTCAGCTTCAAGGAAATCATGTCCCTTTTCACAGAGCCATTCCTCCACAGATCCCTATGGATAGCACTACGTCTTCTGCATAGAACCTAGATTGTCTTACTAGATTTGAATCTGATTCTGCAAACCCACATGCTTTTCTCTTTCTGTTCCATCTCATCCATACTAACAAGCAATAGCCATCAGACCTGCTCTCCCTTCCCACTAGCTGTTGTGTTGAGCTGATGGTTACTGTCACTAACACACCCTATGGAGTCTTTGCGGGCGCTGTTTTTACTGCGGTGTGGGTTCCTGTGTCTTTAACAGAAACAACCCTTCTCAACACTGAGGGACTTGGGAATGCATTAGATGAGAGCACAGAATCTCTAGAGGGCTCTCTTAAAATCTCTTAGATATGTAGCTGTGTTTAAAAGAGGAGCACAGCAATACAATGTAGAAAAGAATTCGAGGTTCATCTGTCCCATTGCCACTGTTCCTGTAAGGAAGTGCCTCTATACTGTAATAGATCATTCTCTTCCCTTGTGATACACTTATGCCATCTTTTCATAAAAAGCAGATTGTATGTATGACAAAACAAAGAGTAACATTGTAGTAAAATTTAGTCGCATTCTGGATCAACATGAACTTTGTAAACACAAGTTTGAGGGAATTTGTTTACTTAGGGTTGGGGTTTTTTTGCTGCACTTTAAGCCGCAACACAGATCTGAATGTACCTCAAGAGAAACCCAGAGCTGAACTGACAGTGTTCCAAGTGTAGAACTCTTCTATTCTATATAAAGCATTATGAAAACCATAAATATTTTACTCCTATGACTGTTGGTTCAACACTTGCCTGCAGTACTTGGTCAGGATCTTCAGGCTAAGCCCACCCATTTTAACATCAGAAAGACTCTGAATATTGTCACACTAGTTGTGATGCTGTTTGCATTGGTAAACACAGTTTCTTGCCTTGCAGGTGGTACTGTGAAGGGAAGGAGCTAGAAAACTCACCCGACATTCAAATTATCCAGACAGGTGATCAGCACTCACTGATTATTGTTGAAGCTTTTGAAGAGGACACAGGACGTTACTCATGCTTTGCTTCGAACATCTATGGCACAGACTCCACTTCTGCAGAGATTTACATAGAAGGTAATGTCAGAAGTGTTGCAGAAATTGATTGCTGAAATTAGTTGTACAGGATTAAGATACAATGATGCATTTTCCATGCTAACCATGTGACAGTTTTGCACAAAACATGCATAGCAGCAGGTCAACACTTCTCATCATTGCTAACATCTTTATTGGCCTGTGAAACACCCTTCAGACAAGGGACTGCCCTGTACATACCATTTCATTGTGTTGTTTCCCAGAGATTTTATGTATCTGACTGCAAGACTAAAGTCTAAAAATACTTAGATTCTGATGCCACTTTGTATTCTTTGTCTGTGGAACACTACAGAAGTATGAGAACCTAAACTTTGTGCCTAACTCTTATTAATCCTTTCTCCCTACAGTCATTATTGCAAATTGAATATAGGACAGCTTCATCTTAACCCACATTTGGGACCTTGCAACCAAAATACATATGCCATCAATTTCAATACTTGCCCAATAGATGCTATAAATAAAACAGAATATATATATATATATCTATGGAGATTTAGGTGTCTTTTCTTTCTCTTTATGGTTTTAACATACTGAAAATAGATACCTTAATATCTATTTATTATAATTATTTTTAACACTTTTGGGATAAGGTTTCAGATTGCATCCACCCTTGTGCTAACAGGATTACTAATCCAAAATACACATATAGAGCCTTTTTTCCCCTTGATTTTTTCCTTTCTCAGGCTGAGTAATGCACTCAGCACCATCACTGACCGCAGTGGGACCATTCACAAATTAAAGCACTGCTCTACTTAATACAAAGTGAATTTTGTTCTACTGTTATTGTTCTTTCACGTCTCTAATCTGACAGTTAAAGGACAAATCCCCTGGCATTAATGGGAGATGTCTGTGCTTGGCAGAGGTTTAGCAGCTCTTGAGAGGGGCCACAGTCTGCTTTTACCTCATCCAGTGGGTGCTGGATGGAAGCCTTGGCTGATAGAGATGCTCACTGGCAGAAGCTACAGAGAAAATATAACTTCCAAGCACAGTGAAGGCTGAATCAGAAATGTCAATTGTCTCAGTGAGAGAGCTGTTAGTAAACTGAGCTACAAGGCACTAGTTTGAGAACAGCAGCTATGATTCCAGCTCTCTCTCTCTTTTTTTACCCATTTTCTTTTTAGACTGGCATTATCAGGTGTCTGAGATAAGAAAACTCATATTTGATTCACACCAACCATTGCAGAGTAAATCCTAGTGGCATTTAAAAAAGAACCTGAGGTAGACCCAGGTGTACATTCACTCTGGGATGCTGTTTTCTTCATTTCAATTCCATCTCATCCCAAATCTGCTTTCTATCCATAACAGTTCTGCATGTTGCACAGTATGCAATGCTGGTTCCTTTCCCCTGCAATGTGATCTTTTGTTTTGGCACAATTTTATCATAAATATACATAGAATGCTCTAGAGGAAATCTGAGTGAATGTTTGTATCATTCATAGATATTCTCCAAGAACCCCTTGGCTAAATGATTTCTTTTTTTTATAGGAATCTCTTCTTCTGACTCTGAAGGTGAAATCATCAAAGATGAAATGGATCAGTAGGTTTAAAATCAATAATATTTTCCATACTTTTTTACAGTTAAAAAACCCCACAAGTGTAGATATTTCAGTTTGCAAATTCCAACACATTAGGCTTCTGTTTAGGATTTGTTTGGATCAGGTTTTGTTTGTGTGCTGTTTGCTTTACAAATATTGAAGGAACAAACGTTTGTTTGTTTGTGTGTCTTTAACCTCAGCTTAAGAATTGAAACTTTAATACTAAATATAAACATAAGAGGAAAGATGTTACCTTAAAGCTTGAACTGCTAAAATTAATTTACCAAAACAGAAGTCATTTGACTAGAACCAACCTAAACGCTGATTTAAGTGTCTGACTTGGACAAAGAATGTAGTACAATTTCTCACAGGAAAATACAGCATTTGGGCAGAATATGGGTATAGACTGCATATTCAGATTTAAGCCAAGGAAATTAACAGATAGGCACCTGAAATGATGGTATAAAAGACTACTTAATTGTTTAAAAAAGTGAGATGTAATCTAAAACCTGGGAAATAAGCTTTATTTTCCCTAAATGAAATCCATTCCCTGTGCATTTGGAACCTGATCCAATGCTGTTACAGTCAACAGTCTTTCAGAATCAAACTCCTTCTCTTAACTGGAAGGGGAAAGCTAAAATAATCACTCTTTGATTTTAAACTACTTTCTATGCACAAATTTAGCTCTAAAAGCAACAAGTGCTTTATAAAGAGGAAATCTTAATCAGTTTTTTTTCCATTATTTCATAAGGAGAGTTATCCTCGTTACTAATGTAATTTTCTTTTCCAATTCAAATACAAACCACTAGAGTGTGTTTGATTGAAGACCTCCGGCTGACAGCAAATCCTGAGTTAGGTGATTTTTACTTCAAAGTCACAAAATACTCCAGATTGAATTGGTTTATGGACTTTGATAAATGTAAGGATTTAATATAAAACTAAAGATCAAGATGATCTCAAAGATTTGGGGAGAAATTGCCAAGTTTTCCATAGTTCTACCTCAGACTTGTCCAAATGTCTCATGCATATTTTTTTTTCATATTCATCTCATTAGTGTCAATGTAGTGTTGACCATGAGCCTGATCACTTGGTGGCACGTCTAAGTTACTGACCTCATTAAGCTGTGAAGTAATCTTTTTCTCAGAAAAACAAACAAATGCTGCTCTGACACTGCAGCAGGATGTCCTCAAATGATGGCACTACGAGAGATCGGGTTTGGGTCAGACACCAGCTGTCATCATACGAATCTGAACACCTGTAATTAAAGGGAATTCATATGAGAACAGGTGCTAAAAGAAGTTCAAAAGAGAAATCAGTGATCACATCCGTTGTATTTTCACTCTGGGCAAGGCCTCCTCTAGTCTGAAGGCTGGCTTTCCTGGGGGGACCTGTGGACCTCAGAGGGAATAAATAGAACATCTCTTCACTGTCTGCATTATCTTACTTAACAGTAAAATTAAGTAAGGTCAACTCTTATACTTCCATATGAAAGCAATCTACAAGAAGTGAAGAGGTGCCAACCTGTACACTACCAACACTGCATGATATGCTGGTCAGAAGCATGTCTCTTTTTTTGATCTTTCAGCAATAAATTATTGAATCTGTGTCCAGACAAAAGATGGTATTATCATTACCTTACAGGCCCACATCTTCATACAAGAGAAACTAGCACTGTCCTCTGTGAAACTAGCATTGCTTTTTCATGCTGCTCAGAGCTGGTTACAGTAGCTTTCAGGCCACAGCTGGGTTAATCCATGGGCCATTTATTGCATTTGGTGTGACTGAACTAGGTCTGAGGTATTAGAGTGGCCAGATACACAGGCTGACTCCTATCAAATGCAGTTTACCTAAGAGTACACATCAGTTTAGGTCAGTTCAATCCCAGAAGTGAGGCTGGGGCTGAATGTAACGGAGACACAGAACCAAGGGACACACACAGAGCACTAACTTCCAGATGGAGAATTGTTCTTGGTTAATATTTCACAGCAAACCAAAGCCAGCCGAAACCTACACGAATGTGGAATCTCCTGCTCTCAGGACTGAAACCAAGCACCAAGAACCCTCCAAAGCACCATCAGCTGTTGTTCAGCCTGTGTCTGTACCTGTCCAGACTCTATCAACACCAGTTAATCAGGTAAGGGACACAACATGGTGAATTTCAAGGACCGAAAGCAAGCTCTTAGAAACATGTTTCTTCTACAGTTTGTGACTCCGAACCCAAAATTTTCTAGTTTTTGCTTTTGCTGCTGGACTTCAGCTTGGAACCTCGCAACCACACAGTACACCGAAGAGATGTCCTGCCTGCCAGGTAACCTTTAGCCCCTGGCAAAGGGCAGGGAGGTTGCAGGTAGTGAGAAGAAGGAGCAGCTGCCACTGGCTCAGCCAGCGGTGGGAACTCCTGTGTGCTCCAGCAGGTCATGGACTGCACACCACGAAGGGCACAGCTCACCTCACTGGCCTCTCTGCGTCGCACACTGACTCATTCACTCTCAGCAGTGACAGCCTTTTCCTCTCCCTTGCTACAGAACTCACTTGAAATCTTTTTCTTTCAATGAAACTTATTTTAAGCTAAATAATTTCACTACTACATGTACTATATGTAGCTATGCTTGCTTGCCACACAGCATTTTAATATCCATATCAGAGAGTTTCTCATTGATGTTAGCATGCATTTTGAGTCCTTTCTGTTGCTGTCAGAATACCCACAGCTGTAAATATGGCTCCTCTTTCTGCATAGAAAAGAGGAACAATATTTCCTTAAAACTGAAAAATAGAATATATTTATTACTTACTGAATATATTTACTATTTGCTTACTTATTATTATTAAAATATATTTACTTAAAACTGAAAAGCTGATGAGAAACTCGCATTACATTGCCTTCTCAATGCTTCTGGCCTAGAATTAGGTGGTAACCAATAAACAGATACTGAACAGGTGAAGCAATGCATGTTTGCTTTTGAGTACATGAGGATAGAACTAAGCCTCTGCAACATTTTGCCATTTTGGCAGAAGCTGCTTAAGTCAAGAGTAAGTTATCTCAAAAATCATCACTTTTAATCTTTTTGACTCACAAGACACCATCTGTGTAATTTCGTTCTATTTCCTGAGATACCAAATCACTAATTCTGCTGTTCTGGGGCAACTCATGTTACACTAAAATAAAAAACTATTAAATAATCAATCTATATAACGAGGTTTTCCAGGAGGAGAATAATTCTGTTCTGATTTCACTGAGTAGGATCAACAGTGTGCTATCCCACCTCTGTAAATGGTTTGGTTCTGGCAAAGGAGAAGAATTACAGCAGCAGTCTCACACATGACTTAACGTTTCCTCACTAACATCCATAAATATTTTGTAAGTAAAACTTTTTAAAAACAGACCATCACCAAACAGCCAACGCAGATTTTCCTTAATGAAGTATTAACAAACAAAGTTATAATTCACTGCCATTAATCCTTGCCACGAGGAACTCGATAAGGCAATAAGCAATAACATCATTGCTGCTGTTATCCCATCCAGGAAAATCACCAGCAGTTGTCTACAAGAGAGACTTTCTATTCATTGGATGAAATATTTTGCTTTGGACTTCACCCACCAAAATCTCTTTTGTCTCATTCCAAAAGCATGTTTCTCCTGTATATGAAAAAATAACACCTGTACACCTAAACATCATCTTGTGATGTTTTGCAATCTGCAGGCTCTGAGCCACACTAACTATTTGCAAGGACTGGATGGAAGACCTATAATTGCAGCTCCTGTATTTACAAAGGTAACTTGTTCTATGACATATTTGAAAATTAGAGGTCAATTAACTGGAGAGAGAATTACAAAATGTCTAGTTTTGAAAGACAGAAAGAGGAATTATGCATTTTTAAGCCATTCAAGGATTTAAGTGGCTTTATTAAATCTTACTGAAATCAGTCTTACTTCCAGACCACTGAGACATTTACTGACTGCCTATTCATTTTCTCTATTAGATGTTACAGGATATTTCAGCTTCTGAGGGACAGCTTGTTGTCTTTGAATGTCGGGTGAAAGGAGCTCCTTCCCCAAAGGTTGAATGGTACAGAGAAGGAACACTGATAGAAGATTCTCCAGATTTTAGGATATTACAGAAAAGTACGTTTCTTGTGTGAAAATATTGTGTCTAATAAAGCACAGGCAAGTAAAAATATTACTAATACAGCAACACTTCGAATTTCTTATGGCAATGGTAAGAACTATATAATCTAGATTTGTGGCAATAAATCTGGTTTTCAGAAGCCAAAACTGTGCATGAATTGATCTGCATACTCAACAGGTAGCACTTGTCTGAGATTCCCCCAACTATTGAATTGTTTTGCCTTCTGCTTTGATTCCTTTGCCACTTCAATGTCCTTTTCTAATTCATGCATACTTCTGCTGTTTAGTTTTGGGTTTACACCATTTATGTAGCATTCCATGGCCTGTAAATCCTTCATCTTCCAGTTAATTGCCATTACAATAGTGCTTATGGGCAGTGGATAGCTTATTTATCCCCAGCAGTAACCTGATGTACATGCTATCATGCTTACACACACATGTATGCACATGATACATGGCAGGTTGCAAACATATTCTTCTACTTTAATTTTCAAATGCAGTTTCAAAACAGCTTCAGTTTTCACATAAGTCACTGGAATGCTAAAATTGTGAAAATTCAACAGAAATTCCTTAAATACCACACCAAACCAAACCTGAGCAAAACAATGGTTTATCATAACTCGGTACCCTGTGCGTGATAGTTTCAGAAAATGTCTTCAAGGCACAATACAGTAGTGCTAATATTGCAAAAAAATACTTTGTGCAATTTATTTCCTATGCATAGGTTCAGAAGTGTTCATACTGTTCAGTGGCTTTGACATATCACTGAGTACAAGGCTTGGCTGTCTCCACCACCCCTTAAACAGAAAATTGGATCAAAAGGAGTATTCTGTCATATTGAGAAGGTCAAATTTTCTATTTAGTGCTTAGGAAAAAAAATATGGGCAAAAGTAACTATATTCAGTCTAATAATTCTACTCTTCTTCCCTCTAGAACCACGATCTATGGCTGAACCAGGTGAGGATCATCAAAAGGCTCAGAATTTTTTCATTATAAAAATGTGGTGATTCACCCTCACAAAATATCAATTATTGAAAGTCCATAATTTAATTTATGTAATGTCTTCTTTTTCCCATGTTCTATAGCTATTTTTGAGTTGCATTTCACTGTAGATTGTTCCATAAATATAAAATTTGAATTAAAGGTGCCTTTCGAAAAAAATTTTTCCCTTCCACTTTGACCCAGTTCTAACTCAGGATTTAAATGTTACCACCTTATGAGCTAAATATTAATGAAATTAATGTGTGAGGCTCCCTTGTACATCTGAGGTTCAGAAGTACACCAGATGAGGTAGGACTGAGCTATTTTTATCCGGCTCACCAGTTAGGGAACATTGCATCAGATGGTTAGCCATGTCAGCCATTCCCTGTGCTCCCTACCAGCGTAATATGAGAGTACCACATCAGGTGTTCCACCCCTGGTATCAGCAAATCCTACCAATGTGGCTGGATCCACTACTCTCTAGGGTCACAGCAGAATGTAGGCTAATTCACGTGACTGGAGCAAAGGAGCCATATAGATTTCGATTACTTCTCCATTAGATCACCACTCTCCTTCTTATGCTTTTCACTATTAAAAATATAAAGCTGCCCCTCTAAAGATGGAAAATTACCAAGGGACTATGGATTCTTATAGAATATAAACCTCTGTAACTCTTCTCCTTGCCCTATTAGAAACATTTTACCCCAAAAGGTGTCTTGAAAGACATTCCCTCCCTCTGAGATTTAGGAATGAAAAATTGGAGCTTCTTCCAGAACCCACTGACACTGTTCCATTACTGTCCAGTGGCATCACTGCTGAGTAATGTGAAGCAGTTCTTAGAGGATAATCAGTGGGGTGCAGTTGTCACAGCCTCATCACCTGCTGCTCATTCAGAAGGAATCTGGATTTTCATGCATGCAGTGGTTGGCAAATCCAAGCACAATAAACTAGATACTATAATGCCTTAAATTAGTTCTGCTATAATAGTACTATAATAAACTCTTATTCTGCTAGAGTTGATAGCAAACACTGTTGCTGCTAGATTTTCCTCAGTGATGACCTGAAACAATCAAGTTTAAGCGTGGCATGGTCTTCTACAGAAATACTCATAAAATATTAATGCTGTGGGGTTTTAGGAATGTTTATTGCAAAATGGTAGCAAAACAGTCACTGACTAGGTGAAGAAATGTTATCATCCCACATGTCAATGCCCTTTAGGTGTCACCCTCCCTCCCGCTCCCAGCTATCCACCCAGAGATTTAAAATCCCACCACCATAGACATTTACCAGCTGGCACTGCTGCCCAGACGTGTCAGATGCGAGTCAGACAGGAATGGCATAACCCAGACTGACTTCTCAAAGTGGAATATAATCCTTGGGAGCACAATTTTGCTAGCACATTTTTGGTGCCAATGAGTAGTCTTCACAAAGAAATGAAAAGGTAACTTTCTCTAAGCACAATTAGCACAATGCCCTCAATCTGACTGCTGTAAAATACCAGTCTGTATGTATGTGGTTTGTATTTCTCCTCCTCACAGAGTGACTCCGCTGAATTGTTCCCAGCTAATTACAACCAATCTTATGCTTATATTTTAGTGAGTTGTGAGTATAAAGTACGTTATATTTTTCCAAATTACATTTTTAGTCCTTCAGTCTTAATTCTGTACTCCATGTGCTTAGGAAAACATTTTCAAATGTTTTCCACATACTCCTGACACCTGTTCTTCTCTTCCACTGGGCATGCTGGAGCACAGAGGGTACCAGCTGCTGCAGACAATGCTGGTAACAGCTGCTGCACACAAAGGCTGCCAGAATTGATAATACTGATGAAACTGGAATCAAACTGAGCAAGGGGGAAGACCTTAAGGAAATCTCCCCCAGGGTAGTCAGGGTTTTGTTTTGCATGTTTGTTCACTGCATGTTCACTTCAAGTGCTAATAATGGTCTGATTCTTTGCAGAGGAAATTTGTACCCTCGTTATTGCTGAAGTATTTTCAGAAGATTCTGGCAGTTTCACCTGTACTGCAAGCAATAAATATGGCACAGTATCCAGTATAGCCCATCTAACTGTCAAAGGTAAGAGTTTGTGTTAGTCCTTTGCTCCCTAGCAGATCTAAACAGCATTCTGGCAGTTTCACCTGTACTGCAAGCAATAAATATGGCACAGTATCCAGTATAGCCCATCTAACTGTCAAAGGTAAGAGTTTGTGTTAGTCCTTTGCTCCCTAGCAGATGGAAACAGAGCTCTTTATGCTGCCAAGACACTGAGCAGTTAGGTGAGCAAAGTACAGATAAAAGCACAGTGTACTGTTGACTCTAATTCAGCTCAAGTTCTGGCAATATTCTTCATAACTAAAAATTTTGAGAATTCTCTGAAAAGCAAGCTTGTATTTCAAATACATTAGTGGAATGCATGGGGCACATGGCTGGAGACCACTGCTTGATCTTCCAAACTGGAAGTGTGTCTCTTTTCCCTCCACCTTTACAATACTCCTTTTTTGAAGGGAATTTTTGTTAAACAAACAAGGTCAAATAACTCAGTCCAGCAGCTGGAAAGACATCAGAGTGAGTCTTTTGAACTGTAACTTTTGCTATTTCATTTCACAAGGATTTATGGTATTTGTGTCACCAAAAGTCTGACATTTACTCTTTCAGCATCTGAAGGCAGTAGTAATGCTGCTGCCCTTCACACGATGAGCTCAATCAGCTTCGTTGCTACTGAACAACAACCTCCCCCACATACTTCTTCCCATCATGTAGTAAATCAGACACCCAAACCTAAACTTGAAGGTGTCCTTGTGAACCACAATGAACCCAGATCGAGTTCCAAGATAGGGCTCCGTGTGCACTTCAAGCTGCCTGAAGATGATAAAAGAAGTGAATCGTCATCAGAGGATGGACCTGGTGCTACAAACCAAATCAGACCCAACTATTTCCCAGAGAGGATAAATGGACAGCCAACGAAAACACCAGAGCCAACATCGCCATCCAAGGAACCTCCTCCAGTACTGGCTAAACCAAAGCTGTAAGTAATCAAATTCTAAGTCTCAGGAACATTACTGATATCACAGAACAAAAAGACAGTTGGGATCACATGGCACTGGCCCAATTAACCACATTCTTAGAAAACACATTTGACATAGCTAGATTTTTTTTCTGTATATCTCTCCCAGGAGAAGTGTTCTCCGATTTTAAAAGGAGTGTGTTTTCCCTTTGAAATGTTATTAATTCCACACTGTTTTCTGCTGCAATCAAAAGGTGAAAAACACTGCTTTTATGCAGGCAAAGTAAAAGCAGGTTCTTCAAATACATCTCCCTCCATTCTGGGTATGGAATTTTGTCTCACACACAGTGCAGACTAGCAGCCAGTGAGCAGCTGTTGCTCTGAAGGCTCCGTGACTTCTGTGCCTCACTAACGTAACACAGATGAAACACTTGGAAATGTCTGACACTGTGAAACCACTTGAACTGTAAAACACCTGTATCATCAGTGCACTGTGAGGCCTCAAGGGGAAAGCTGAAGAAGGGTCATTTTCTTAGAGGAAAATTTATGGAATTCACACAGAAATTTATTAAGAAATGCCTTTTCAGCATTTTTTAAACCTCCCACACATAGTTTAACAAAAAGCATGCAGAGTCCTTCATTTCAGTTCTTAAACAGGCAGAAGCTAAAGGCTCAGGAAGGACTTTATAAAGCAATTCACCGGCACTCCTAAGAAGGGATGCAATTTCATAGCATAACATTACAAGGAGGAGACAGAACTTACATACCATGAGGCAGAGGAAGAACTTGGGAGCACTTTTTTTTTAATTTGTGAAGGCCATATTCACTTTCAGAGCTATAGTGTGTTTAAGGGGAGTGCCAAAGCAGTATTTAAGCTGTACAGTGCTTGCATAACACAGAATTTCTCTCAGACGTGCACTGCCAAAAAACCTCGTAAAAACGGAGTGCTTTATTCTGCAGGTGTCTATATCAGGGACACAAAATCAGGACGACACAACTTCTAACTAACATTCTACTTTTTGCAAGCTTGAAATTGCTGTCTTTATCTACCTTTAATGTGATTTTTGCTTAGTACATTATAGAAACAGTAATTCTTTCAACTATAAAGAAGTTCTGTTGACCATGTATTTAGTTTCTTACTACCAGTTGTGGTTGGTCTCTACATTTTTCACTTTTTATCAGTAGTTATTTAATACTCAATAGTTTATCACATGATCATTTTCCATATCCTCTATGTCCTTTCTGGTTTTGGAAGGGAAAAGGTTAGCCTGTTTTTCATGTGCTGTATTTCCATATATATGATAACTAAATAAACCACTTGACAAAGGCAAATATTTTTCCTTAATTGCAAAGTAACAAATCCCTGAAGGCATATCCAATAGATAGCATCCAGAGACATGCAAGTCCCCTCTGAATGAAACACTCCTGCCTGTCACTGAATGTCAACACCACCTGAACTGTGTTGGCAATCTCTCTTAGGGGGGATTATTACAAAGCTTATCAGTCAAAGTGCTGGTTTCAGAACCCACTTTAACAGGAGGTCAGTAACTGCAATCTGGTTTACAAATGCTCATTTACAACATGATACACCAAATGTCACTCTTAGTAACACAGGCAGAGAAGTACTAGAGCGGAATTTGACAATGCTATCCCTTCAATATCTTCAAGTAAGATTTATATTTCACATGTAAAAAGGCAAAAATTATCTTCAGTCAAATAATTTTTAGACCAAAATATTTGTGCCTCTGGCAAAGAAGAGGAGAGGCAGGAAAATTTTATTTTAGCAGCAAACTAATATCATGCACTTCTCATAATTTTACAGAATATGCCAGGTAGCAGTTTCCCCTATCCTTTACTGCATCAAGGGACTAGAATTTTTCTCTCACAATTCATATATGAAACTGCAGTCAACCAGCACATTCAGGGCTCATAACCAACTTTGCTCATCTTTATTTTATGTGCAGTGATCAGAGCCAGTTAAAACAGCTCCACAACCAGGTCTTGCTTGAACAACAGCAGATGCATCAGGCATCTATAAGAGAGCTGTCATTCAACACAGTTTCACTGAATTCTGCTACTTCACTCCATCAACAGTCCACCTCAGCTCTGTACAAGCAAAGCTCAGGATCTGCTCCACAAGCTCCTGGCTACAGCCGCCCCAAGCAGTTCTTGCCATCACAAATCTCACTGCTCGCCAGCTCCTCCGCCAGCTCCTCAGCTACAGCGTTCAGCGACATCCCCCAAGGAACTCAGAGAACAAATAACATGGAAAATTTCACAGGAAACCCTCCACCTCCCCAGCCAAGGTCTTCAGGAGGGTTTACATACAAAAGCGAACAGTCTCTACCAAGCCCTAAGGAATCCGTGGTGACTCCAGTAACACTTTCTGCATCTAGTGTAAAACAGTTTCAGCCACAGACTGTGACTCCTACTCCTATCTCCCCAACCGGACGGATTCAGAATCCAGTAGCTTTCCTCAGTGCTGTTCTTCCTTCACTTCCTACTGTGCCATCAACCAATGCTATGGGACTGCCCAGAAGTACACCGGCCACGTAAGTAGCATAAGCCATCTGCACTGAAGCAGGGACAGGAAATACTCAAAGGAAACTAGGATGTATTTCTGTTCATGGGTTCAATGGGGGATTCACTGAAATGCAAGTCATGCATAAAATATGTGAGTTATTCATATATTCTTGTCATTGCATCGAACCTTTGCATTCAGTTGAGAAAGGAGGGGATAGTACCTTCTATAATAAGTTACATCAAGGGTTAAGATAAATTCAAGATAGAAAGCTGTGAGTTTATAAGCAGATAAGTGCAAAACTTAGAGGACTCAGAAATTCGTAAGACTGTACTAGTGGGAGAAAAGAGATTTCATGAGTTTGCAGGATAAGTCACTCCAAGACCATTTACTTATATGAGCTATAAAACCATTCTTACCTATTGTTAGCAACAAGTAAAGTTTTAAAAGGTACCTCACAGTGTAAGCTTTTTTTTAGCCCAGGTAAATCTAAGAAATAACGTATGTAAAGGTATTTTTCTGGTTGCAGTACTTTCTATATTTGAAGTCCCCCAGAAAATATTAAGGAGGGTTAATGGTTTGCACATAAACACTTTGACATAAACACTTTGACATCCAGCTATCATCCAAGCAAGTAAGGATGATGATGTACTGGCAAGGTTGTGGCCTTAAGAGTTCCTCCTTTACTGGCTGAAGTGAATATCCCTTTTGTGGACTACATGAACCCTGTCTTAGCACAGCTAGCACCAGTAGATAGATAGAACTACTTACCCATCGAACTCCAAATCCTGCACAAAGTAAGGAACACTACCCCTTTTGTCAATGGTACAGTTCAAGGTAGTGATAGCCATCACTAAGTCACAATCTGCTGACTATCCTGCTGATACTACATCAACCGATTTGTTACTGTAACAGAACAATGTGCCCCTGTATGTCTAACGTGGTCAACTCTGTGTGCTCAGAAATCCTGCCTTCAAACCACTACTGCACTCCTACTCACAACCCTCTCAGCTGCCCAGCATAGCCACGTCGTCTCCGTCACCCTGTGGCATGTGCCTGGACACCTTCCTGGCCTTGGCATCCTGACCAGGCACACATCAAACTATAAGGTTCACAGTGAAGGTTTTAGCTACAGCCAACTCAAGCCTTCAACCTGCTTTTGCAATGCTACAACAGCAAGACAAAATTAACTGCAACTACCACCAGTGACCTTCCTTCCCTTCAGAGCTGGTGCACAAGTGCTCGAGCGCTGTTCTTTTGGCATTATTGACACTTAACCCTTGCAAAGCACTTTTTTTTATCCCACTGCTGCACAGGCATTACCAAGTAAGTCATTACAATATGCCTACCAGGCAGAGTAGTTAAATATTGTTTTCTTCGTTTCACCTTTCCTGGGTTCCAGCCCAGAGCTGAATTCCCACACAACTAGAGCTCATCATGCTGAGATTCAAATCTTGACCTGTGCGTGGAAGAGAATCTAAGTGAGGGCGCAAAAGCTCAGGAAGGAACCTCAATGGTGTCTGTGCTAATCTGTGAATACCTATTGAAGCTTCAGCTTCCTTTTTTGGCATTAATAATTATAGTAATTTTGATGAATGATTGATAGCTCACTGTGTCTGCAGAACAACAAAAGGAAGATACCTTGCACAGCAGCCATCAGTTATGCCTTTACCTAGAACCCCTGTTACTAAGACCCCAGTGCCTGGTAAAGTACCAGAATGTTGCACACTCTCCAGTAGTGTCCTGCTGTGTGAGACTCTCACAGTCTCAGGACAGACTTATTTAGGAATTTAACTATTTTCAAACCTCACTAAAATGAAACAGACTACATCTGTTAAAAAAACCCCACAACTCCTCATTTTAGGTGTCATAAAAGTATGAGAGAAATGAAAGAAGTAAAAGTGCATGGAAAGTATAAATAATCAATGAAGATGTGAGATAAAGATGAATGTGAAATTATATTAACTTTTACATTATTGCTTGATATTCAAGTATTGTACACCTAAAGTAGCACCTACACACATTTCTAGAGTATTTACTGTGACATCATTATTGCAGGACAAATGGAATGTAGATGCTTATTATAGTATTATAATGCTTATTTTCTTTAAGATATGTTTTTAATTCCTACTGGCTTGGGAACGGGAAGCACCATTAAGATAATACCCAAAAAAATCCAATCCTGTATTGTGCTTTGGCTTCTAAACAAATAAATAACAGGTTCCTCCAGACACCTGAAACGTAACATACCATGTCACACAGGTGGCAAAATAGATATACTGGTTGCTGCATGTTAGTATCAGCATTTTCTTTTCATAGCCCAACCCAGGGATTAACAAAGAAAAGTCTGAAGCCTCTGCCATTAGCAACAGATGATTCTATTCGGGAAAACAAAGCTGCACTTGTGAAGGACCTGGAAAGAAAATTGCATTTCCAAGAGGATGGTAATCAACCTAGTGCTCAGCAGGTAAGAAAACTGAGTGTTAAAATAAATTTCACTCATGAGCAAGATATGTTTTATGTGAAACCAAAGGTGCTGAGCTGCTACACTGCTTTGCCAGGTGAGCTCTCATGGTAAGTACTGGTTTGCAACAGCAAACTGGGGCTCTCTGCAGGAAGCATGAGCGGGTGCAGCTGTAGAAAGGTTCTTTGTAACTGAGCAGCACGTTTAATTCTTATCATCTCAGACTGGTAGGAATGTAACACTTTTTTTTTTTCTTGGAAGCTTCTGGACACTGGCTTTGATTTTTTCACTTCACAAGTTGCTCAGCTCTGCACATATACACATTCATGTACTCTATAACACAAAGAGTAAAGTAATCAAACTGTTTAGGAAAAGGTTTTTGTTTTTCTTTCAGTTGAATGGGGTTTCAATTTTTAGCATTAAACCTATTTTTCCAAATCTTCAGACTTATACAAATTGACTGAGACTTCATGGGAACTTTATTATTGGAGTTTAGCAAACTTAGAAGCCTTTTCCAAAGTTCAAGAAACTAAATATCAATCCATTCTTAATTGGAATCAATAAATTCACTGGATCTGTGCACCATCTATGAACTTAAGGAAGACATAAAAAATAATGAAATAGTATTTTGAAGATGAATTCACTGTAAATCAAGTTCAACCATCCTTGACTAACAGTAGGACACTCTAAGGACTGCTAGATAGCTGTTTTGTGTGTAGGTGATTATTCTCTCACCTTGGCCATGGAGACCTCCATAGCTGTTCCCCCAGCTCTGACTTAGCACAGCAAATAAGGGTTCACCCTGATCCGTCATCAGCCAGGGAACTTCTCACGACATCCCGCAGCCCTTCTGACACAGAACATGCAAAGAGAAGCAGAAAGACCTGGAGTCTCTGGAGCAAATTACCCTCTGTGGATAACTGAAGTGTAACCCCCGTTTTTCTGATTTTGCTGTTGACCTTTCTTTCTGACAGATCACACTGGCAAAGCACTTCAAGTAAAACAACTGACAAGCAGTATGTTTTGCAGATGAACCACAAGTGTTACAATTTGTACTTGCTATGGCAGTAAGACAAATTATTTAGAGAGCTGCTGTGAAATACCAATCAGTCTTTCAAGTTAACTGCATGACAACCCCTTCAGAAATGATGATCACTACTAGTGTCAAAGTTATCTGCTGACAGCAAAAGTTATTTATACACTTATTTGCTATTCCGTATGGGACCAAATCTAAATCTTGATTCTCAAATTCCTCAAACACTGAAAAAGCTCAAAGCTGGCACTTCTCTAATTGCTACAGTAATTAGAATGCCAACGGCAATGAACTAAAAAACTATTTTAGAAGTGCTCCGTAAAAGTTCCCTCGTTTCCTCTCAGTTCCCACCTTCGATTGCTTCTGATTTTACTCTTCCACATCTGGGAAAAGCATTGCTAGGCTCCACTGCCCACTCCAGCAAATTCAAGTCTGAGTTTTCTCCTCAGTGAAGGCAGTGATTACTTAAACAGATGAAAGGATGAACAGTATTTTCCAAAATTCCTATTGCTTTACAGTATATAGAACAATCAACATCATGAGAATAATCTGTTGGGAGTGCTGAATTCACACCTATAGATTTTGTCCCGTTTTTTCCTCTTTTAGTTAACATGGCATTAAAAAGGAGAAATTCTCATTCCATACATAGCATATCTGTATTATTGTAATGGTAGGGAAGGGCTTATTCCCTTTCTCATAGATACAAATGCAAGTCTCCTCTGTGTGAGAGATCACTGCACAAGCAGTGGAGTACAGCATCCATTAAGAATCTCAAATGTTGGTTTCCTTATATTTTCTACATGCTACTTTAAAAATTCCTTCTCATAAAATGTGTCCAATGGTGTATTTTTATTTAGAGAATTGTACTGTGACCCTAGGTTTCAATAGTAGTGTTTGGTCTCATTTCCAGTATCTGCAGAGCATGCAGGCAGCCTCCAGAATGGACACTGCAGATGACAAGCCTGTGCTTTAAAGTACTGGTAGTGTCTTGTCTTACTGTATAAAGTTCAGAGATGAACAGGAGTGATTTACATCCCAGTGCTCTACTTATGATCTAAAACTGACTTCCATATGAAAACTATTTAGCTAACAAGCTGAGATTTTCCTAAGTGTCAGCATTATGTACTCAGCATGATATCTAATAATCCAGATGTACTCCTTCTGTTTCATCCAGTACACTATTCATCACCAACAATAAAGAAATCCAGGACCAGAACATAGTTGGTAATTTTGCTGATGCTGTATGAGACAGAACAAATTAGCCTTTGGGCTACTACAGCTATGACAATCATGAAGTGCTGACAGAAATGCAAATATGACTTTGCTAGGATTCTAGCTGCAACTTTGATCAAGTACATGTACTAACAAGCTGTTGTTTTTACCAGACAAAAACACTATACCTCTCATCATATTAGGACTGCTGGAAAAAAAATGTGGTTCAGTTACACCCAAACATCTTTAGTCAGATTTGCTCAGTTCTTTCAAACAGAAGATACACTAAATGAGGATTGGCTTGATGAAATCACAGGAAGAGGTTAAAACAAATCCCCGGATACAGGAGACCTAACTCAGTTTCTTCCTTGGCCTGAGGACAGTAGTATTGATAACTCAGAACTCCTGTACTGACAGGCTGACTCTTTGCAGTGGGTATATGTAGTGTTGGTGCTGTCCCGGGTTGCACAAATCGTTTAAGCATTCGTTATCAGCAGGAGAACAGCCTGGAAATTCCACCTTTCCAAACAGCTCCTGTAACACAAGACCTGAGCATTTCTCTCACTTTCCCCCTCTCAATTAATAAAACTGAGGACTTTCAGGCAGTGTGGAACAGGCCCTCCTTGAGCAGGACACTTCAGAGAGCACTTTGGCATAATGGTTAGGGCTGTTTGAGGAAGTTGGTAGAATGCTTTCTTCCAGTGTGTGTGGGGGAAAAGAAACAGAGACAGGCTGAGAGAGACGTAGAAAGAAAAAGAGAATTGCTCTCCTGCCTAGAAACTAGGACGAACACCTGGACTCTTGTCCTTGCTGTAGTGGATGTTTCAGTACTTCTGCAGAAGGAAAGGAGACAAGAAGGACAAAGAACATCCATGTCCACTCATCTCCACCCCCAGAATGCCTTATGAGCATGAAGCTCAGAGCTGCCTCTTGGAGACTGAGGCTGAAACCCAAGCCTCGTAACCTCAGAGAGTGTCTAGCTAACTGCACCACTTGATGAAAGGAGAGCACAGCCAGCGTTCTCTCTACTCCCCAGATCTGTCAGCCCAGTCCATGGGGCTATTTTTCTCCCATACAAGTGAAATACCTTGGTAATGTTCAGTTAGAATATTTCATGTAGAAAAATAAAGATACTTGGGGAGAAAAGGACAGACAGAGAATTTGGAGAGATTTTTGGCAAATGAAAAAATATATATATATATGTGATGGAAACTGATTATTTTACCCTGGTCTTTGAAAACTTTTACAGGTTTCAGCAATGGACTACAAATAGAGGAAATTCAGCTTTACAGACAAAACTTAGAAATTAATGATATTCTATCCTCAAGACTTTGCTATACAAATAGTATAAAATAAAACAAAATAATTAACCCTCAAAATCCTGTACAGTAATAAATGAATTAACTGTGCAATAATAAGGGAGAGTTAAGTAACTGGGCCTGGTTTACACATTTTGGTTATAAGAACTACAAACTGCTCACATATCTGTGTCGTTTACTATGAAGAATATCATGTGGCAGCACTGGTTGGTTGTGTCTTACTAAGACAGCAGCATGGTCACTGCCTCATTTTTAGGACAAAGGGTAAACTTACAGCTGTTTAGAAAATTCTGTACAGCCCTTGCATGAATATTCTTTACTTTTGCTAGAGAATACTTGGTAAGAAATTTCAGACCACAAGAGATGCAGTTTTTCTCCAGAAGCTTTTAGATCAGTAAAAGCCAAAGTCTGTGCAGCCATTTGCAGACCCAAACTCATCACACAGGCCACACCACCAGTAACACCTCAACGCTGAGCAAACAGAGCCATCTTCTCACCGTTCCCATGCTAAGCCATCAGACTCAGAAAGGTCCCAAGAACCACCAGGAACTCTGTTCTCCAGGGCACAAGAATTACACTTAATTCAGCCACTTAAGAAACCTTGCTCAAGAACAAGCTCCACATCATCTCTCAAAGGCCAGCAAATGGAGGCAATTTTGGACTAAGGATGGGAATTAAACCACAGGGACTCCTCACAGAAGCTTGTCTGCTCTGTACTAGAAATGAGAAGAGATTTAAGAACCTGACCAAGGCAAATTACTAGATCTTGATATTAATAGGTATAAACTCCCTATAATTGTGGGAATGAATAGAAAACAACCACTTGTAGCTGTCTTCTCAAGACCTACATCTAATCATTAACAA